TCTTCTTTTGCATTCTTTTTGCTATCGTTTTTTATTTTTATTTTTTTCTACTCTCACGTTTCTTTTCAAGTCTTTCTCTCACAGGCAAAAATCTCCCAAATCCTTACTTAGGGCTTCTCGCAATTCAGAATCTCTCAAGTTTTTTCCGGCAAATTCTCTTAATTCTCAGCAAAATTGGACCTTTCAATTACTCGAAACTTCTTTCTGACAAATATTCTGATGGCCCCCCGTAGATCGACTAGGAAATCGGCTCCGATTGGTATGTCTTCGCCGGGTTCCTCCTTGCCGGCGGCCGCGAAATCTCGACCTCGCCGACCTCCATCATCGTCGGACGCAGCGATTCACCTTCCGTCTCTGCCTAGTCGTTTTCCGCGGCTTCCGTCCCTCCGGTGTAATGAAGAATATCTGCCGGCGACCCCCGCTCCCGTTCCTCCGGTATCTGCTCGCTTAGAAGTCTCACGAGACGTGGCCTTCACGCGTTGAGGATTTCTGATCCTCTCCCTTAGCTGCTTGCTCATGGTCTGAAAACTCGTAACAATGATATCCGTCTCAAGACTCGCTGGTCTATTTGCGAGAGAGGAGATGGTTTGAAGTTCTGAAATGGAAGTTTTAATTTTACCTAAACTGATTTCGTGTAGGGGTTTGACGGAGTAAAATGTTGATAGCTTTATTCAGGGTGTGATTGTTAATGGGAAGCTTTGGCTATCTGGAATGCAGCAGGAGAATTTGGGTGGTTCTTATTTGTGGCCCAATTCTAACTGAGCCGTTTAAAGAAGAGATTGGGTCCGAGGGATTGAAAGGACCAGGTGTTTGAGGTGTTTGTGGTTGTTTGTTCACATGTAGAAGGACACGTATGCAGGCAATGTGATAACTTTTGATACGGATCTTGATAGCAAAATTGCTTGTTGGTAAAACTCTTGAACAGAGAGAGGAGGGGAAGAGACGGTGACTGAAATCAAGTGCTTGAATTGAGGGGGAGTCGAAGCTGAGCTCGGACCTTGCCACTCTCATATCCGACGTTCATGTTTTCTGACCAAAAAGGGGGAGATGGAGAGCGACACGTCAATTGTAGTGTCGTCGAGTGCTCGACTTTATCACTGTTTGCATTTCTCATCTCTATCTCTTTTATATCCGTTTTGTTATTTTCATTGTGTTATTTAGGGGGAGTTGTCGATGCTTATGATTTGGAATCATTCTGGTTGCTTATATTGTTTTGTTCAGAAAAGCAAAAAGGGGGAGATTGTTAAATACTTAGTTTTGGATATTTATTTTATTTTGCTTTTCTGATTTATTTTAATATGTATATATATATATTATTGTGTAATAAATATTATTGTGTAAAAAAGTTCTCTTATCTTATTAGGTGTCCTACTAGGTAAAGGAAGTAAAAAAGAGAGGAAGATATTTGTCTTGGAAAAGAAGAAACAGAAAAAGATTGAGAGGCCTGCGTTGATAAAAGGGCAGAGCAGCACATGGTGCGAATTGAGAAAAAAACAAATCATAAAGGATTAGTGGAGCAAGGCTTTTGAGGTTTAATCCAGGCAGCACATCTTTTGTTATTTGATCTGGGAAGCTTCAACGTGGGACAGACAAATAAGAAAGGAGCAGCACTCGTTATACTTGGGCATCTCATATCATTCTTGAGATTATTTTTGTTATTTGCCTTTTATAGTTCGATTTGATTAAGAGCATCTAGTTTTATCTTGCGAATTTTTTTTTAGTAGTTCACTAGATATTTTTGGATTGAAAGAAGACTTCATAATTAAATTGATCTAGTGGAATTTTGGCATGTTGCCTTAGTCTACAAGTGATTTTCACTTGTAGGCTAAATTTTGAATTTTCGTGTTATTTATTTCCGTTGCGTATTTGAATTTCTGATCTTTGTGTGAAAATCTGGATTTTTACGTACCTAAAATTCTAACATGAACTCTGCTAGTGCTGCAAAAATATGGCACATGAACAACTCTGCTATCGAGAAAAATGTTGCGCAAAATTTTTTTTTTTTCATTTAATTTATTTTAGTATAATAATATTAGTAAATTTTTGTATAATGTGTATTAGTAAATATATATTTTTTATGTTAAATAGCTTTTGTGCTTTTTATTTATTAATGTATTGTAATTTAATTTTGCAATTTTTTAATATTAAAATTGTGTCATAACAAAAAAAATTTAACATTTTGTTTTTCTAATACACATCGTCATTTAACAAATTTATTTATAATAAAAAAATATGTAGTATTTAGAGTAAAAAAAAATATGTAGTAAATTATTGGACGAACAAAGATTAACACAAGAAATTTATTTTAAATGGCCTACATTAGAAATTGAAAATTCTCTTAAATATTAGTTAATATTTTTTAATAAATCCGTAATATTTTTGCAAATACTTGATACATGTTTTAGTAAGTAATATAATCTTTATATAAATATTGTTGTACTATTTATTTTATTTAATATATAATGATAATAATTAAAATAAGTAAACATGTGTAAAATAATATTTTTAATTAAATTACATTTGTGACATTATAATAATTTAAAATGATGAGAACAAAAAGAAAATATTTTGTGGGGTAAAATGTAGCATGGTTGGAGACTAAACTTGATTTTTGTTTCACTCTACTCTAGAATAGAGTAAACTTTGCACTAGAGTACAGATATGGGTTGGAGATGGCCTAATGCAACATCTAAAAAGACAATCCAAACCGAACTAAAAAAGTTCCTACACTAAAAATAACAAAACTGAACCGAACCAAATCAAATTGCACGATTCGACTAACTGTTTAGTTTTCTCTTTGTTTTTTTTATATATTTGGATTTAGTTCGCGCAAAAGTGCACTGAACCTAAGTTTTCCATCCGATGGCCCGGGACTTTAAGCTATCATAGTTTTTTTTATAATTGGTTGCGAAAAAAACATTCAAGTCACAGACTATATGTGGTCCATAAGCATAACAATTTTCTCTGTTTTGCACATTCCTTTTGAATCTTCAACAATTGTGGATAACAACAACAACGGGCATGGTTTCCTTCACGGCAGCCTTGAAACGTTTGTACCCTTCAACGTGAAAGTTCTGAGCGAAATAAAAACAAATCATAAGAGCCAAGAAGTTAACAAAATAGAAGCAGAACATAATAAGCACAAATGGCAATAAAAAACATATCGCCTTCACATAAATATTCTTCAAACTACATAAAAGGTGCCCCTTCTTAAGTTTCGCAAACATGTAAAAACATTCATTACGAGATGAACTTTTCGGTGAGCAGTATCCAAGCACGCGTTAATAGCCACAATCACTTGCTCGTCGGCCATAACCTAACGTTGACCTCCGATTTCGTTAAGATTCAGATGGGCCACAGAAATGCACCTCATTTTCGTAGCCCGATAAAAAACCGACATGTACCCAAAATGATAGAAGTGGAAAAGGCCAGGGGAATTAAGCTCGAGCACGCCAAAAAAAGCGTTCATCATATTATGCAACTACAGAACCTTAAGCATTTCCCCCCGGAAAGCAAGAAGGAGTGCAGTTGTTCACGACTAAGACCTCAAGCACAGGGCAGCCCAGTAAAACCGAGTTAACGAGGTTGAAACTCGTGGAGTGTAAAACGAGGATTTTTAGTTTGGGGAAACTGAAAACGAGCCCGTTTGGATTTGGGTTGGGCTTGGGTGAAACAAGATTGAACCCGTTGATGCTGTGGAGCAAAGCGGACGGGTGGGTGCCTGAGCTGGCTGCTGATGTGGACAACCAATCTATGGATGCCGAGAAGCAATGCTGCAAAAATCCAGGTGGACGTGCTTAGTCCTTTGCAGAATATGACTAGGAATTGTATGGAGATGGCGCTTCGGAGGGTGACTTTGAGTTGATTTTAATAAAATCTATTTGTTTTATTGTAGTAAATTTTTATTACTGTGATATTAAAAAAATATGCAAAATAAATTTATAATAGGTCAATAAATAAAAAGCATAAATTATTAATATAATAAATATATTTATTAATACAAATTTACCAACAATATTACATTAAAATACATTAAACTAAACAAAAAATGTAGACCGTGTTGCGCAAACATGCTACGGTCAAATATGCATTACCCATGATACGGTTTTCTCTCGGTCGGTTTTCTCTCGGTTATAAATTATTAGTATAATAAATATATTTATTAATACAAATTTACCAACAATATTACATTAAAATACATTAAACTAAACAAAAAATGTACACGAATGAATACTGTTGCGCAAACATGCTACGGTGCATTACCCAAATATGCATATATTTCTTATGTTAAATAAATGTTGTGCTCTTTCTTTATTGATGCATTATATTTTTATTTTGCAATTTTTTAAGATTAAAATGATGCCAAATGAATAAATATTTAACACAATTTTTTTCAATATAATATACATCTTCATTTAACAAATTTATTTATAATTGAAAAAATATGTGGTAAATTATTAAACGAACAAGGATTAACATAAGAAAATTATTTCAACGACCTACATTAGAAATTGAAAATTCTCTTAAAACTAAGTTAACATTTTAGTAAATCTGTAAAATTTTTGTAAATACTTAATGCATGTTTTAGTAAATAATATAATATTTATATAAATATTGTTGTACTATTTATATTTTATTAAATATATAATGATAATAATTTAAATAATTAAACATGTGTAAAATAATGTATCTAACTAAATTATATATGTGATATTAAAATAATTTAAAATAGTAAGAATAAAAAGAAAACATTTTATGGAGTAAAATATAGCGCGAACGACTGGAAACGAAATTTGATTTTTGTTTCACTCTGCTCGAGTAAACTTTGCACTAGAATGCAACATATAAAAAAAATAATCGAAACCGAACTAAAAAACTTTTACACTAAAAATAACTGAACGGAACCGAACCACGCCGAATTGCATGATTCGGTAAGTTTTTGATTTTCTCTTAGTTTTTCTATATATTTGGAATCAATTCGTGCAAAACTACACTGGACCAAAGTTTTCTTTCCAGTGGCCAAGGAATTATAGTTTCTTTAAAATTGATTGCAAAAAAAACATTCAAGTCACATACTATATGTGGTCTATAAGCACAATATGAGGTACACAAAAACTATGACAATCAACAAGAAAAGCAATAAAAAAAGAGATATCTTTCTTCAAAACTCCATAAACACTTTTGTGACAACGCCGAAAATGCACGTTTCATATTAGAAACTGTCCAGAAACCTTTTACCTTCAGAGTACGAAAACCCCCACAACTTCAGTTCACCACTGCACCACCACATATACGCAAACAATTTTCTCCGTTTTGCACATTCCTTTCGATCTTCAACAGAAACATACAGGATTGTGCACAATAACAACGGACATTGTTTCCTTCACGCAGCCTTAAAACGTTCGTACCCTTCAGCGTGAAAGTTCTGAGCAAAATAAAAAAATTCACAAGAGGTTAACAAAATAGAAGCAGCACATAAATACATAATAAGCACAGATGGCAATCGAGACATTACCGCCTTCACATAAATATCCTTCGGCAGGGCCGTCTCCAACATTTTTTGGGCCCAGAGCGAAAAATAAAATTAGGCCCCCCTAATTACAATATTGAATAATATATTTTTAATATTTTATTAATAAAATACAAATATTTAATGATACAACTAAAACAAGATGTCCTCGTACCCACAAAATACAACAAAAACAAGATTAATGTTCTAACATGAATGTTATTTAAAAAATCTCGTCCTTCTAGCATTCTTTGAAGCGAATTCATCAATCAAATCCTCATAAGAAACTTTGTCCAAAATCTCATTTTCGATTGCCACGATTGCAAGTCCATTAAGCCTTTCCTGTGACATAGGACCTTCGGATTCGGCGCCCGAGCCACAACTCCCAGAAGAACTTCCCACCCATTAGAATGATTCATACCAACTATTACCAAATCAACCATCTTTGGAAAACTCGGAATTCGTTGGGGCCAACGGTACAACATCGGTCGTGAAAGAAATATCAAGAAAAGAAGCGCATAAAATAAAAAAATCTACAAACTACATAAAAAAGCGCTCCATCTTAATTTTTGCAAAAATACGAAAAAAGCATTCATTATCGAGATGAAATTTTCGGTGAGCAGTATCCTCGCAACATCCGAGCACGCATTAATAGCCACGGTCGCTTGCTCGCCGGCCATAACCTGACGTTGGCCTCAGATTTCGTTAAGATTTAGACGGGCCACGTTAAGGGACCTCATTTTCGTAGCCCGATAAAAAACCCCGTAATGATAGAAGTGCAAAAGGCTAGGGGAATCAAGCTCGAGCACGCAGCAAAAAAAAAAAAACCTTCATCATAATACGCAACCACAGAACCTTAAGCGAAGGAACGCGTATCGAAAGCATTTCCCCCAAAAAGCAAGGAGTGCAGTTGTTCACGACTAAAGACCTCAAGCACAAGCAGCCGAGTAAAACGACATTTACAAGGTTGAACCTCGTGGAGTGAAAAACGAGGATCTTGAGCTTGGGGAGACTGAAAACGAGCCCATTTGGATTCGGGTTGGGCTTGGGTCCGAGATCGACCTGCACGTATAGTGAAAAAAAATTGGAGACCTCTTGATGCTGCTGATGTGGACAGCCATTCTCTGGATGCCGAGAAGCAACGCCGGTGGAAATCCAGGTGGTGACAGAATGTGCGTTGAGTCTTTTGCAGAATATGACTAGGGATTGTACGGAGATGGCGTTTTGGAGGATGATTTTGATTTGATTTTAATAAAAATCGACTTGTTTTATTGTGGTAAGTTTTTATTTATGATACTAAAAAATATACAAAATAAAATTATAATATAAGAATAAATAAAAAATCCTAAAGTTATTTAATATTACTAATCCATATAGTACACAAATATACCAATAATATTACATTAAAATTTAAAATACATCAAACAAACAAAAAAATGCCAAGCAATGAATAGTGTTGCTCAAATGTATTCAATCGTAGTGCAGGGTTGGATGAAGGATTTTTGACCGCGCGTCGCGACGCGGCAAATTTAAATTTATAATTTTTCCTTAACAAACCTCTACTAACTAGTAGTAGCGGCAAGTAAGGGTCGATCCCACGAGGAGTAGGAACCAAATTGTGACAATTTCGTATTAATTGAATTAAACTAGGAAAGCAATAAAGGTGGGGGGGATTGGTTTAATAAAAATAATAAAATAAAATAAAAATTAAATAAAATGAGAGAAGTCCAGCTTTTGGTTCAGTTATCACCCAATCTCAATCTACCGATAATTAATTTCGACGCCTTCTTTAAATTGCTAATGAATTACCGACCCTAGCTAACAACAAGCTCTGTTAACCGAATTTTCCCTTACCGAATATTTAATCGAAATAAGCTCTTCGACTACACCTAACTAACGGACAACATAGAATAAGCTCTCTAGATTTAACACACTAGCAGCATTAATTCCTAGGAAAATAGATCAGTCTAAGCAATGGACGCAAAAGCTCGGACCATTTAACTTATGCTCATGCTACCCTAGAGATGCACGACCCCTAGTTTACTACTAACGAAACGAGACAATAACAATTACGGATTAAAGCCTCGAATCTAGCAATTAAACCATGAACATTCAACGTAGTTGGCCAGACTAAATCAAACACCATAATTTATAAACATTAAATATAGATAACATGAATCAACTCATCAACAAAAATAAATACGGCGTCTAGATTAATCAACGGTAAATATAAATCCTTCAATCCATAGACAAATCAAAGTTAGGGTTCAAACATCCCCTAAAACTGGATAAAAATCTAGCTTAGCATACTAATGAAAATAAAATACTAAATAAAAGATAACTGAGAGAAGATAAAAATATCTCCCTCATGTGCGGGTGCGGCTTCCCTCCGCGTGTGTGCTCCGGGCCCTTTTTCTGTCCGTCTATACGTGCGTGTTTTTTTTTTCCTCTGTTCGTATCCTCTCCTTTTCTCTGTACGACCTCTCTCCTTTTTTTCTGCTCGCAACTCTCCTGAAATAAATCCAAGAGTCCCTAATTGATCAAAGTCCTCCAAATAATTCCATGTTGTGCGTGTGCTCTACTGCTTGCCAAAAGTATTTTGTTTCCCAACAAGTAAATCTCCAAATGCTCCAATCAATTAATTTCGTGAGCTTAATTTCTTTGGGCCCAAATAATTGAATTGTATTTAGGGAGATGGATGAAGGATTTTCTCTACTCTAGCGTGCTGAAGTGTGCTGAATATGGAGATGGTCTGAAGTGTGCTGAAGGTGGATGAAGGATTTTCTCTACTCTAGCGTAAATATGAGTCTAAAGGATTGGAGATGGTCTGAATGTTCTGAAGTGGAGGAAAACGGAGTGCGGGAATAAAGCGTTAAAACACTGCGCGGTGTTTTGAATGTGCTGAAGTGGAGTAAAATGGAGTGCAGGAATAAAGCGTTAAATATGAGTCTAAAGGATTGGAGATGGTCTGAATGTTCTGAAGTGGAGGAAAACGGAGTGCGGGAATAAAGCGTTAAAACACTGCGCGGTGTTTTGAATGTGCTGAAGTGGAGTAAAATGGAGTGCAGGAATAAAGCGGTAAATATGAGTCTAAAGGATTGGAGATGGTCTGAATGTTCTGAAGTGGAGGAAAATGGAGTGCGGGAATAAAGTGTTAAAACACTGCGCGGCGTTTTGAATGTGCTGAAGTGGAGTAAAATGAAGTGCAGGAATAAAGCGTTAGAACACTGCGCGATGTTCTGAATGTGCTGAAGTGGAGTAAAACGGAATGAGCTACAACTATTGCATGGAATGAATAGTTTGTTTGGCATAACACTGTAGCTCACCTACACATTTTTTATTTTAATTTATTTTAATATAATATTATTTGTAAATTTTTGTATAATGTGTATTAGTAAAATTTATTTTTTATGTTAAATAACTTTTGTGCTTTTTATATATTGATGTATTATATATTTATTTTTCTAAGTTTTTAAGATTAAAATGGTGCAGAAGAAATTTAACATTTTTTTTTTCAACATAATACACATCTTTATTTAACAAATTTATTTATAATAGAAAACATATGTGGTAGATTATTGAATCAACAAGGATTAACACAGGAAATTAATTTCAATGACCTATACTAGAAATTGAAAATTCTCTTAATCTTAGTTAATATTTTAGTAAATCTGTAATATTTTTGTGAATACTTAATACATGTTTTAGTAATAATATAATCATTGAATAGACATTGTTGTACTATTTATATTTTATTAAATATACAATGATAACAATTTAAATAATTAAACATGTGTAAAATAATGTATCTAATTAAATTACATTTGTGATATTTAAATAATTAAAATAGTGAGAATAAAAAGAAAATATTTTGTGGAATAAATATAGCACGAACGGTTGATGAAACTTGATTTTTGTTTCACTCCTAGAGATAATGGCTGTTTAATGCAACATATAAAAAATAATTGAAACAGAACTAAAAAAGTTCCTACAATAAAAATAACAGAACTTAACCGACCGAACCAAATTGCACGATTCGACTACTTCGATTTTCACTTCGGTTTTTTCAGTATATTAGGATTCAGTCCGTGCAAACTGCACTGAACCAAAGTTTTCCTTCCGATGGCCCCGGACTTTAAGCTATCATAGTTTCTTTAAAATTGATTGCAAAATAATCATTCAAGTCACAGACTATATGTGGTCCATAAGCACAATCTGAGATACCCAAAAACTATGACAATCATGAATCAACACAACAAAAGAAATAAAAAAAAAAAAAAATAGAAATCTTTTTTCAAAACTTCAAAACACTTACGTGACAACGCCGAAAATGCACGTTTCACAGTGTCCAAAAACCTCTACCTTCAGAGTACGAAAACCCCCCACAACTTCAGTTCGCCACTGCACCACCACATATACGCACACAATTTTCTCCGTTTTGCACGTTCCTTTCGATCTTCAACTGAAACATATCAGGATTGTGCATAAGAACAACAACGCTCATTGTTTCCTTCACGGCAGCCTTGAAACGTTCGTACCCTTCAGCGTGAAAGTTCTGAGTGAAAAAAAAACAAATCATAAGAGGTTAATAAAATAGAAAGCAGATGAAAAACAAAATAATAAGCACAGATGGCAATCAAAAACATACCGCCTTCACATAGATATTCTTGAGATTCGGCGCCCGAGCCACAAATCCCAGAAGAACTTCCCACCCATTAGAATGATTCATACCAACTATTCCCAAGTCAACCATCTTCGGAAAACTCGGAATTCGTTGGGGCCAACGGTACAACATCTGCCGAGAAAGAAATATCAAGAAAAGAAGCGCATAACATAAAAAAAATCTACAAACTACATAAAAAAAGGAGCTCCATCTTAAGTTTCGCAAAAAAAAAAAAAAAAAAAATCATTACCGAGATGAAATTTTCAGTGAGCAGTATCCTCGCAACACCCGAGCACGCGTTAATAGCCACGATCGCTTGCTCATCGTCTATAACCTGACGTTGACCTCCGATTTCGTTAAGACTCAGACGGGCCACGGAAAGGGACCTCATATTCGTAGCCCGATAAAAAATCGGCATGTATCCAAAATGAAAGAAGTGTACAAGGCCAGGGGAATTAAGCTCGAGCACGCAAAAGAAAACGTTCATCATATTATACAACCACAGAACCTTAAGCGAAGGGACACGTATCGAAAGCACTTCCCCCGGAAAGAAAGAAGGAGTGCAGTTGTTCACGACTAAGACCTCAAGCACAGGGCAGCCCAATAAAACCGAATTAACAAGGTTGAAATTCATGGAGTGGAAAACGAGGACTTTTAGTTTCGGGAAACTGAAAACGAGCCCATTTGGAATTGGGTTGGGCTTAGGCCCGAGATCGACCCGCAGGTAAAGTGCACCAAGATTGGACCCGTTAAGGCTGCGGAGCAAAGCGGACGGGTGCCTGAGCCGGCTGCTGATTTGGACAGCCAATCTCTGAATGCCGAGAAGCAACGCGGAGGAAATCCAGGTGGCGACAGGACGTGCATCGTTGAGTTTTTTGCATAATATGACTAGCGATTGTGCGGAGATGACGTTACGGAGGGTGACTTTGAGTAGATTATCGCCAAATTTTACGAAGCTCTGTAGTTGGGTAGAGGAGTTTGATTTTGGGTCGAGGAATAACGAGTCGTGTAATTGGAGCTTTAGGTTGGGTACGAAAGGTAAAAGGTTTCTCCACTTTGTGGAAAGGATGGTAGTGCCGACAGCGAATTTTGTGGGAAGAAATGAGAGGATGTGACATCGGATGTCGTCCGGTAAATTACTGATTATATCGATTTCTTGAAGTTTGCGACGTTTTGGGATGGGATCCATGAGCTGACAAGATTAGCTGCTTTCAGTTATCTGCTAAGAGAAACAATGAAGAAAGTTTCACATCATGTGAAATTAGAATAGTTGTGGTGTGTATATACGCTTTCAAAATTTTATTTTTTTTCTTCATTCAAGTTCTTAAATTGAAGAGAAGGGTCTCGTAATGCAATTACGAATTGTGAGCCTTGAATTGAAAAAGATTCATAACTGCAGCTAAGATAACAAATACTGATTGAACAGATAAAAAAGAAAAAGTATAAGCATTGTGCTGAACTATGGTTTGAACAAAAGATAAAAAAGAAAAAGTATAAGCATTGTGCTGAACTATGGTTTGAACAAATTGTTCAGGAACTTATATCTAATAATCAAGAAAAGTTCAGGCATCCACATTATAACAAGAACCAAAAGGACATGAAACAGCTAATTAAGATTTTCAATCACATCAAAAAAGGGAGAAATCTGAATTCAATCACATCAAAAAACATAGGCCAGCAGCCATGTGAATTTATTACATTTGGTCATGTTTCTCAAATTCCTAATGTTGTCATGTAATGAAGTTGTTTTTAGTTTTACGGTTATTGCAGAAATTACCCAAGGTTGAGCCTTGTAACAAAAATTACCTAGCATCTTTCAAAGATACTCTTGACATTCGAAAATTACCTAGTCATCTTTCACCTAAATGATTTGTAAACAGAAACCTCACCCAAAAATGATGTACATTACAGGAATTATATCCACCGATCAACTCCCCTAAATCGCCATCAAATCAGCATTCCTTTAATTTTAAAATGCGTTAAGTGCTCGTTCTTTCGCGTTGTGTCGGAAAATGCAATTCTAATAAATAAGCATAAATGTATCAATCTAAATAGATCTTTTCAAACATTTCTCAATAACACTAAGCATGGTTGGAACAAGTAAATAAGGCTATGCAATTGGAAAAAAAAAAAATGAATTCCCAATGTTACTAATAAAGAGATTTACAATGGATTCTTAAATCGGGAAGCGATCAATAACAACAATGTAGAATGTTTATAAGATTACCAGAAAAATACTCACAAGTTTCTTTCTTTCTTCGGTCTTCGATTGGTCACGAGCCGCCGCCGATAAATTTTGTTTTGTGCCTACGTTCCAACCCTAGCAAAATATTTCGTTTATATAGTGTAATAAAGTGATTTTTTTCTGTGTGAAAGGCAAATACATTTAATTCGATTTACTGCATTTCTTGCGTCGTGACGCCAGCTTGCAGTCAACAATCACACTAATCTTGATAAATCATTTTTCTCACAATTCATTAAATCTCACAAACCAATATCAATATAACCCTGCATAGATTCGGAGGGACTCAAACAAATAGATTAAAAATTGAGCACAAAAAAGCATATCGGTGAAGCCAAGGATTAGAAAGAGCAATAAGTAGAGTATTTTTTAGTCTAAACCTCAAACTGTTCAAATATAACAAATGTAGATATTCAAATGTATACAAATGGATCTTCTTACTTAAAGTCCCTGATAAAAAAAGAAACTAGCACAAATGAGATGACAAATTAAACCAATCAAACTATCAGTTCCTATGCAAAGCAATAATATTTGTTATGTTTCTCTTCTTAATCATTTAAGTATATACAATTTGAAAATATAATATCCGGTGGGTGTTTAGAAATTTTACGGTCAGACAACAAAATCAAAAGCTAGAGAAAACTAAATAACCAATTCCAAAAAAATGTTGAAGATGAAACTTAAGAAACTCAGAAATTATATGGCCTGTTTTGCATCCATCAACATCCACTTGCAAACTCATGGCATGATTCTTTCATTCACTATCTTACTTGCTGCTCACACACGATTTCCAGTCATGCCCTGCAAATCAGAAATTCACTTGATAATCGATATTGTCTTTGTTCGGTAATTTTTCAAACTACCATTTTCCATTGGTAACTCAGAACTAAAAACACTTTTTTTTATCATGCTATGAACACAAACTTGCAGCATCAATCCCTGCCGTCTACTTTCCAGAGTCCCTTAAACCATTGTGATAAGTAATTACTTAGTTTTTTTTTTCCCCATAGGCTAGAAAAGCAATATGGCTTATTGAATACATGAATGTTATCAATTGACACAACTCTGAATAAAAAAAAAATCNGATAACATATTCATAGCCTATGGAAAAACAAACTAACCAATTACTTAGTACAATGATTTAAAAAAGAAATAAACTACCCAGAGATGTATCGCCATGCTCCATCTCCATATGGATTCAAGTGACCTGCAATTATTCATCTCAAACAAAAATATGAAGTTTCTTCTTGTTAAGAAACTGGAGAAAATGAGTAATTTCACATCTACTATTCGAATTTTGGATCAGTAATAGAGAAAAGCTTGGCAAATAATATGGATTTTTGCTGCAAGATTGAAAAAAAAAAAAAAATTGAGAATGATATAACGACCAATCTACGAAAGTATCTCTTAAAAAGAAAATTAGGCATAGAAAATATGCCAGGCATCCAAACCCTATTCATCAGTTTCGAATTATTAGATCAAATGTATGCAGATGCAATCACGCAAATGGTGAATGACAAATGAAAATGAAACTAAAAAGGGCAACTAAACTTCAAAGAATAATTTCCGCAGTCATTAATTTTTACTAAGTTTTTTTAATACTAACTAGATATTTAACGATTTTATAAATTAAACTCATTATTCTATTGGTTATACTAAGTACAAATTGATGATAAAATTAATTATAAATTCATTATATGCACACATAAAAATATAGAAATAACTAATTATTAAATAGGCGAAAAGAATATAAATAATTTGTGGTTTGCAATGTATTTATTTTGAGTATTTGTTCGTTGTTCCTCCATTTTCAAAATATATTTCTTTTTAAGTTGTATAACATCACATAATTTTATTATTTCTTTTATCACAAATATTGTAAAAAGATTACGTCTTTCAAAATTCATTACAAAACTTTTCTTAAAATATTCTCTTTTATATGCTATAGTGAGATTTTTACCATTGTTGGATTGAACTTATTATCAAATATACATCATTTATATATACCAATTATTACACTATCTACAAATAAAAATTATAAAGGTTGAACGTTAAATAAACTAAGTTTGATAATTATAAATTATCTCTCATTAACTTTTAGTTTGTGTTTTGTTGTAGTCAAATTAAATTGTTTTATTTTTATAAAATTAAATTTTTATAAAACTTGATGCTATGGCCAAACATGCATTTCTTAGGTTTTTAACCTAAATTCCGCTCCAGAATTATATTTATTCTAGTTAAATTAATTTTTTTGTAAACAATTTATGGTATGCTTTAATGTAAAAAAAATAATTTTATAACACAAATGTATAATTGAGATCTATTATATAATTTAAATCCGAGTTATTCATCTATCATTTTGAAAAAATAAAAAATAAAAAAATTATTGAAATGTCTACCACATATTTATCTATATTATTTTTAGTCAAGCAAGTTGTCCGCACGGTTAGCATATTAAAAATTTCTATTTAAATATAATAGGTAAGGTTTACACTATATAATTAATTTATATTATTTTAGTCAAGCAAGTTGTCCGCACGGTTTGCATATTAAAAAATTCTATATAAATATAAAATGTAAGGTTTACACTATATAATTAATCTTTATGCAAGATTATGCATTATAATTTAACTTACATAAAATTGATTGTTTTTAATAAATTTTTATAAAGTATTTATCAAATGTTCATAAAAATGTAAATGTTTAGAAGCACATAAATTATATACTTAATACTTACATAATTTAACACACTTAATATGTTAATCATCTAAATTGTTGCATGTTATCCTCGAAAAATATATAGAAAAAAACTTAAATATTTCTTCGCTAATTTATAAATAAATTTTAAAACCACCTCAAACATTCGAATATTAATCTTCGATCATAACCCTTTATAAATAAATAAGAACGTAAATATTCTGAAAACCCCAGTTAACTTTATATTTCTAGTTCTCATATTTAGCTCCAACTAACGTTATATTTTGACATAATTATGTAAACCATTTTAATAAAAATATTTATTAAATTACCTTATAAGAAAATTAATTCATATAATTACATTCATGCAAAAGCTTGGTAAAATTTATTTTAAATGTTAAGAAATACTGAAAACTAAATTTTAAGAATATATAATTTAAATTCTTGTAAAAGTTAAAAATAGGATTGTTTTTTTTATGTTAGTACATATTCAAATTACCAAAGAATGTACCACAAACATATTTCCCCATGCAAGTGCAAGTGAATTGAATGGACTCAATATGTCAGCAAGAAAAAGAAACGCGATCTACCCTTAAGTCTATTTTAGAATGAAGTAAAGACCCAGTTTTTTGCATTCAATCCATGTCATTTAAGACTTGAGACGCGATCTACCCTTAAGTCTATTTTAGAATGAAGTAAAGACCCAGTTTTTTGCATTCAATCCATGTCATTTAAGACTTATGTCAATTTACACGTCACGTAAGCAAAATTGAACTCAATAAAATTGAACTCAAAGCATTATTGAAGCTCTAAAGAACCAAATATGGCAGGGAACTTGCTGCAAGGCTAAGAATTTCCAATATCCCTCTATTGGGACCCAACAACTTTTTAGCTCAAATTTACCACGCACTCAATTCAATGATCAAGCAAACAGTGACATTGCATCCAGAAAATCAACAACAAATCAAAACAGATAACCAAACATATTTCCACTGTCCCCTGCAGATTCCAAGAGGCCGATAAACCACTTATCAACACAAACATCACCTTCACGTGCCAGAACAAAAAGATCCAAGAAAAAAAGCCAAATATGCCCATTTATTGATATAGAACAACTAGATATAGATAGCAGTTAGTCAGGATCTTGATATTTTTATTTTCTTTGGTAATACACAGAAGATCATCACACCAAAAGGCAAAACTTGTTACATGTGTTAGCAAAACTACTGCCCGTTATTTTTATATCGTCTTTACAACAAACTCAGAAGCTATTACTAGGGGAAAACAAGGGAATTATTAAATCTAAAGATTTACGAAGCTGTAGCAAGAGTAGGCCGGTTAGTATTTTCTTGGAAGAACATAGGAGGTGAATTATTAGTATGATTCGACTCTGTCCCGTACTGCGTCTTTACCTCGTATTCCTCTGCCTCGTCATCCTCGTTAGCCCACAAGAAGAAAGCATATGAAGCCACAACAAAACTGCCCAAGAGAAAATCAATAATTAACTCGGTCCAAGAAAAGTAGAATTCAAACCATAAGTGAAGGATGATTACACATTACCCTTGAGCTTAGCCTNAAGAAAAAAAAAAAGATAACAAAGAAAAAGAGAAACAATTTTTTCCTATACTCGAAGAGGCAAATTCAATTGTTGTGTGTCCAAATTAAGTTCCACTCAAATCTTTTAATGTAACAATTATCAAATCATTTTGTTCCAGTTACATTTCTGTCCTTCACCAGAGCACATAACTAGAAATATCAAACGTAGCTTCGGGCCAAAATTTGATTACGAGACGGATGATTTTGTAGGAAAATCGATGATTTACAACTCCATCAAGAATCAATTCCAGCAAATACAGGCCAGATACATACAATTTAGGCCACAAAATAGTGATCACAAAAGAAACATTAAGTACCAAAAGCCTCTCCACATAAAAGCTTGACAAGGACTGAACGTACCACGGAGATATTTTCATTACACGTCAGGCAACAAGATATTTACACTACATTTTTCAGTGCCCAACTCATTAATTCAAAGACCCTTATAATGACCAATTTACTGTAGCAGAGGTTAAAAATTGTTCGAGAATTCAAAGGGCCACGGTGTTCGCAAAAAGAAGCTTAAAAAAGAAATAGTTCGGAAGGAGAGTTTGGTAATAAGTAGTAAAATTACTTAACTGATCAATAAAAATTAAAGCAATGGCAAAACAAGAAATTTAAAGCACCCCTTGAACTCATTATACAAAAAAGTAAGATAAAAAATTACGTTCTTTAACCAGAAGCTTACAAGTTACAACCCCTTGTTACTCTTTTCAGTGAGAATGCATATATTCCCTACATAATTCTTGTACAAGTTAGATTAACAAACCCAGAATGATTATCCTCAAGAAACTAACACAAGAATTGAAGTGTCCATGGAGAAAAGGATCTATCGACGAAATCAAGACGAAAAAAACTCTTTCTCACCAGTCATTGGGGTCGGCTTTAACAGCTTGATGAAAATAATCCTTAGCTCTTTCATAATCCTGTTGTGTTTTCCATATTAGATCAGCATAGAGTGATAACATACTCCCATCATTCGGGTTTGCCAGAATTGCCCTTCCACAGTACTCCTCTGCCTTTGCAAAATCTCCCTTAACCTAACACACACATATACACCCAACACAATTTCGATATCGAATTTCTTACCAAAATCATGAGCTAAGAACCTAAGACAAGTCAATTACTGGACGATGCCTAGCCACCAAACATTAGACTTTTAATTCATGATCAAAGCCAACAGAAACAAGATTAGATAAAAGTACCTCTTTCAAGAATTTAGCATAATTTGCAAGCAAAAGAGGGTTCCCGGGATTAGCCTGTATCATCGTCTCGTAGTACATATCCGTGCTCTCGGGCCCACGTTGATGGCCCGGGCCCGATCTATCATCGGAGCCCCGTCCACCGCCACCGCACATCCCCCCACGCCCACCGGCGCCGACTCCTCCCCCCCCCACCAGCGTCTCCGGTGACTCCACCACACACTCCTCCGCCGCCGACGCCGCCGCCGCCGATCCAAGCCCCGAGGTCGTTAAAAATGCGGGCCCCAGATCGTGTTCCCTTCTCTCCTTGATTTTCGCGGGCCTGGGGCTCGTGGGCAGCCTCAGGCACTTATTGGGCCTACACGGATCTCTGAGATCCGAGTCGAACGAAACCCGGGTCGGAGTACTCCGCCCGGCGCCGTCCTCAGACGACATCGTCAGGCAGAAAGATCGGGTCCTGGGCAGCTGGGGCAGTGCGTCGGGCTCCGGCGGCAAACCCGACCCGGACGTTGACTTGTGGCGCACTGAGTTCAAGATGGGCGACGAGGAGCTTCTCAGCAGCATTTTCTTCCACTATATTCCTCGATTGCTGTATTTTTTTATTTTTTGTTTCTTTTGCTCGGCTGCAGAGCAGCATGGTGACTGAGAAAGTGAAGATTTTTATAGGGGGATTTGAAGGAACGTAAATTCCTAATCCTGTGTGCACGGATCGAACTGTTGGCCCATTCGACCCAACACTTTTTTTTTCCCCCAATAAAATGCATACTTCTACTAAAAATTTATCATACTGTTATTTATATTATTTTATAGCATATGATATTTTAATTCAAAATTATGTATATATGTTAAAAAGTACGAGATTATCCCGACTTGATTAGACCTCATCTCAAGTCTGAACCTACCCGATATTGTATCCCGCATCAACGATTATAATAGTGGGTAATATACATCACTATGAATAGTTAACTTCAATTTTTTTATTATTGGTGTTATTTTATTTTGCCTAACTAGCCAAATAGATACATAAACCAAATCTTTCTTTTTTATATTTTGGAAGGAAAAAAAAAAAAATCAACTTTCAGTGCGTCTAGCCCGCTCAGGTCTTAGCCCTTGTCATCGTCGGCACCCCGCTTGTCTTTAGCCCGGCACTCAGCCCGCCCTCTTCATGGTTGATTGGAAAACAGCCTGCAACTCACCACCGGCCATGACAACTTTTAGCCACCCGACAATTGAGGATTTTTATATAAGTTTTATTTCTATTGTTCGTTGTGTAATTTGATCTATATTTTGTTTGTTTTTGTGTTGAGTTGTATTGTGTTGTGTCGTAATTAGGGTTGTTTAGAACAATCTTCAATGAATTTGTGTGTCTGTGTGATACGGAGATCGAAAGATTGGTCTTAGCCTTGTTCCGCTTTTGTTCCGAGTTGTGTGGATTTGTTAATTTATTTATTTATTTATTTTTTGCTAGGTCTTGTCTGATTTGCCTCTTCTTGACGACATTTTTCTTTTCAATTTTGGCTAATGTTTAGCCTAAATTGTGTTGACATCAGTGAACGTCAGACTTTGCAATTTTATTTACTTGTAAGTTATAACAATATCTATAT